CCCTCACAGCATTTAAGACTTCAAACACCATAGTATACAAGGCTATGGGCTTAGGCGAGGGTAGAGAGGTACAAATATGATGGACCGAAGAGCCTTTTTCCGTGCTGTAAACCTCTATGATTCTGCGAGAGATAGGAATCAGCAAAACTTTAATATTTTTTATATTTCGACTTTAATGTTTTTTATATTTCAACATATACTTTATTCATAAAAATACATTTGTATGTAGTCACAAACGCAGTTCATTAGCATATGATTTAACAAACAAGCACTGGAGTTTGATTCTATCCAAAAACAAAACCAAAGGCATCTTTTACTTGTACAAGTTTATATTTACGTGCATTTGAGGCGAAAAAATACACATTTTCATTTTTTTTTCCATAAAGCAGTTGAAACTCCTGCTGGAGTGGGAGAGGGGGTCGATTTTGTAAACCCTCCTGTGAGGAAGTTGAAAACCATTTGGAGGATCACACAAATAAATTTACTGGACTCTGAACCAAATTAGCACAAAAGGTGCAAGTCTTGAGCTATTTCGGTTCAGATGGATAAACTTCCTATTTGACTTTTGTAGCGCCTGGTTCAGTCGAAACGATAAAATATGCGCACAGTGTCCTCATTTAAGAATCCAATCGGCTTCCTCTACACGTCCTGTTTGTATTCCTTGCTGTCGACGCAGCCACGTCCAATACAGTAATCTTCTCGTTTCTTTTTAACTGAGTAACAACAATTTTGACTTGTTCAAGTATCCTGTAGTCTCTCATTTTAAAATTCCGCGTTTTCATAGACATTTTGCTTAACTATCCTTTTGAGGTGTAATGTTATTTCTTATCTTGCACTTAATCTAAACACTTCTGCACAATGTTTCAGTTTCACCCCTAAATCTCTATCGAAGGGTTAAGCAACGGACTCGAACGCCGATACCTGGAAACCAAGGCAGGGATGCGTTTGTCCCCGCGTGTACCGACAACAGCCTCGACATGTACTCAACAATCTGCTCCGTACTCAGCAATTTTGGCCGTGTATTCACAATCTCCCCCCGTGTACCACAGGAATCTCCGTCCACAAATCAGTCTCCGCCGTGTACCCTAAAATTCTTTCCTGTGTACTCCCTAATCTCCCCAGTAATCAATCTCCCCCGTGTACCCCAACAATCTTCCGATGGGCCTAACAATCTCCTCCGTTACCCACGCAAGTACCTCATCTCCCCCCCCAACCCAAACCCTACCCCCTCACACTTTGTAGCAAAAGTCGGAATACACTTTTGTTTAAAAAGGTGGGCTCCTACGCCTTTTCCAGTTGAGCATTTCGATAATGTGAAGTCTGAATCATTTTCACTGTGTTCACGCTATCAGGGCAAACACTCTCATCGAATACCTTCCCAATTTTTTATTCTGTTGTTGTTTCTGGAGTCGATCGGTGAATACCTCGGCTTGCCGCGTGCGTGTAGATTCTCGTGAAGATTGATTTTCTAATATTCAAGTGTCAATCGAAGCCCCAAGCATTCAGGCGAGACATTATTCAACTCTTTACTGTCTCTGAGCAAAGTCTACATTCCATCTGCTCCCACATTGAACTGCATAACAAGATATCCATCAAAAGGAATCTTAATTCGATCCAAAATGTTTCTTAAATTATCCAAAACCTGTCAAACGGAAATAGTTCCCTTCAGTTTTTACAATAGGTGGGTGTGTGAATGATACAATCACAATGCATGGACAGTAACATCAGAAATGGAAGCAGGAGTAGGCCGTTCAGCCCCTCGAGCCTGCTCTGCCGTTTGGTACGATCATGGCTGATATGACATTTCTCACGTCCACTTTCCTGTCCTGTCCCATAACCCCTAATTCCCCGACTGATCCAGAAATCTAGAACTATTAAAAATCTATCTTCTCCTGAAAATTATCCAGTGACCATGCATCCGCGTTCCGGGATGGAGAACTGGACAGATTCATGACCCTTTGAAAAACTAATTTTTCCTTATCTCGGTTTTTAAATCTGTTATCCTTAATCCCTAAACCATGACCTCTCCGTCTAGATTGTCCCCACGAATTGAGAAGTCCTCTCTACGTCTAATTTGTCAATCTCCGTTAGCTTCTAACATATCTCAAGCAGTTGCGTCATTGCCACCTGCAAGATTTAATTTTAAATCTCACTGCAAATGCGATCAAAAGGACGAAATAATAATAGCAAATACACAGCGACCGTTTGTCTATAATAAATGAAGAGAGAGGTCAATGTTTAGATCAGAAGAATAATTAGGCTTCAAATATATAAAAAAAACGAAAGTGCTGGAGAAACTCAGCAGGTCTCGCAGCATCCGTGGAAAGAAATCATAGTTAACGTTTCTGGTACAGGATGGAAACTGAATTAGTTTCTAATCAGTCCAGGACTGATTTCCAGCATCCGTAGTTCTTTCGTGTTTTGGTTTGCTCAAAATAGAACTGTCCGTATCCTTTCCGGCCCGTTATTCCCAGCAAACCGAACTTCGAATCGTTGTCTCACCTACCAGGTTCCAGGAACTCGACCCTATCCAAATTTCAACCAGTTCCTCCGCCCCTTTTAATCCGCTGACTCCGGCCTTTTGTGTATTCACCGGCTCCTGGTGAAGTGAACTTCTCCCTTCTCCCAGCAAACTCTTTTCCCTGAACATCCTTCACTCATTCTGTCCCCCTAAACCCCTCTCTGTAGCGAATTCTCTCGAAATTCGGTTTGAAAGTAAACAAAAATTCTGTTAAAATATAGCAGCAGACCCCCATCGTTAATAAACCGGGCAGCGGTCGATGCCCTGTTTACTAAACAGATACATTACTCGGAACAGAAAGAAAGTCTTGCATTTTTATGGCGCTTTTCACGAACCCCGGACATTTCTCAATGCGGGTTGTGGCCAATGAGGTGTAAACACTGTTTTAAGACGGGGGCAAAAAACATTTATCTGATCGACGTCTTTTCCCCAGGGTGGGAGAGTTCAAAACTAGAGAGCATAATTTTATGGTGAGAGGAGAAAGATTTAAAAAGGGACCCGACGGACAACCTTTTTTTCACACAGAGGCTGGCTCGTTTGTGGAATGAACTGTCAGATGAAGTGGTAAATGCGGGTGCAATTACAACATTTAAGAGACATTTGGATAGGTACGAGTAAGAAAAGGTTTAGAGGGAACAAAAACAGAAATTGCTGGAAAAGTTCAGCAGGTCTGATAGCATCTATGGAGAGAATTCAGAGTTAACGTTTCGGGTCCAGTGACCCTTCTTCAAAAGGTTTAGAGGGATTTGGGCTAAACATGGGCAAATGGGACTAGTTTACTTTGGGAAACTTGTTCGGCATGGATGAGTTGGGTCTGTTCTCGTGTTGTATGACTCTATGACCTCCTAATCTTTTATTTATTTCTCTCCCTGCAAAAGGTCCGGGAGTAGATTCCACATTGCATGATGAATGAATACACCTTGTTATAAGTAGTCCTTTCACGATATGACAAGGTGGATAGAGAGATAACCTCTAGAATCAGATACGGTGATCTCCAGTATGTAGGATTGTGACTGGTTTAGGTGGACGGTTCCTCGGGGATAGGGCGCGCTACTTTTCCAAAGCTGAAAGCGGATCCATCATTCGGTTGACGGGACCTGGCGGGTTCTAAGGCAGGAATGAACGTGTTGGATCAAATTAGGTCGGGTCAGATCAAGTTCATCCTGGATCGGGTTTGTAGCCAGCAGAAGAAAGACCATCTGTAGGCTGGGACTGCAGTCCCTTCAATAAAGCAAAACACACTCATTCCATCACATTGCCGTGATTTTAAATTCACATTTCAGCATTGTCAAAAAAAAGGAGCATGATGAAATCTCTGACAGCGAATTCCCGCGTGACCCGTTAGGAAAGTTTTCCGGGCCAGAGTTTATTTATAGGTGAGTTTCCTGTCAGCGTACTGGGTATAACATGAGATTTGATAGCAGTGTTCGGTGAGAGTGATGGAGACATCCCTATCACAGCCTTCACCAACAAACCTCGGGTCACTGTGTGGAGTTTGCACATTCTCCCCGTGTCTGCGTGGGTTTCCTCCGGGTGCTCCGGTTTCCTCCCACAGTCCAAAGATGTGCAGGTTAGGTGGATTGGCCATGCTAAATTGCCCATAGTGTCCAGGGATGTGTAAATTAGGGGAATGGGTCTAGGTGGGATGCTCTGAGGGTGGGGGACTTGCTGGGCCGAAGGGACTGTTTCCACGCTAGGGATTCTATGATCTATGTTCTGTGAATCACCCTCCCCAGAGAATCACCGTGAGGGTCAGTCTCCAAATGGGACAGCGCCTGGGCTTCTACAACTTTCTGCTCGAGGTCTGTGTGGGACACAGCTCCTGTTCTGATAGTGGTGGCGGGAGGGCGGGGGGTGGTGGAGGGGGTGCGGTGAGAGACATGTGACACCTGGGAAATTCAAATTCGCCAAAGCTCCTGACAACCAGCAAAAACCTTCTTGATATTCAATTTGAAAGGCAAGAAACATCTGCTAGAATAAAGCGGCATATGCTAACCGTTCACAACACATCTCCCACCCCCAACCCTAGGAGCAGCCGAAATCCTATTGATTCAACAAATACGTTGTATAGAACCAAAATAACGATTTATTTATACCGTGTTTTGCTTGACCACCCCAAAACAGGCCTGTGGTGTATATTTAAAGAATAGACACTGTTAGAAAGTGGGAGACAAAGTCACAACTTGTACTAATGTTTTAAAAGTCTTTTTTTTGTTGTTTGGAAATAAGGTACTCTCTGTATATAAAGAGAATTGCAGCAATAAGTGGATCTGAAGCTCTCGGTCCCGCCCCCACCCCCAGCCTGCCAGAACTGAATGTGGTGTCCGGAATGTCAGTCAGAGCTCTGGGTTGGGTGTTTGCGGTTTTGTTTTCTCTGAAGATGTAGCTTGGTGCCGAGTCATAGGCTGGGAGGAGCCATGTCTGATTCCGCGGTAAAAGGAGCAACTCGTCGATCAGTCAGAGGCAGTGTAGGATGAAGAGAGAGACAGGAAGTGAGGCTGAGTCAGACTGACAGAGCAGCCTGCATTTGCAGCAGTTCCAAGCGGCCACTGTACCCCAACTGTACCCCCACTGTACCCCCTCTCCCTCTCTGTGTACAGCTCACCCCCAAACTCAATTTTGACCTGACCACCTGTTGAGAGCGGCGTCTCATTAAAGTCTCGTCGTTTTTCGGGGAAGGTTCTTTTCCCTTTAATTTCGTTACAATATCTCTGGCAGCGCTCCGTCCGATTCCATTCCAACAATCTTCCGAGAGTTTACCGAGAGCGGAGAGAACACGGATACTGAACCCGCCGGTGGAGCAGCAGGTAGGCAGTGACTGTCCTCAGTGTTCTCCCCCTGGGTGTGTGTGTGTGTTAACGTCGCTATTTGGAGCACAGGCAACCGATGTTTCAACATACAGAGAGACCTCAGTGGCTCGGGAGTTGGAAAGAAACTTTCTTCGGGGCAGTGGAGCGGTGTTTTTGGAGCGCAGAGAGCTCAGCACCCCCTGAACCTCGCCTCGGAGCCCGTGCTCCGGTGGGCAGCCAGTTTGGGGATGAGTGATTGGGAAGATAGAGGCGGGGGGGAGCGGGACTGGTGGTTGCCTCATCCTGTACAAACCGAGCAAGGTTGACGCTAGAGGAGCCATAAAACTGGCTTGCAGTCAGCGAGTAGTTGGGGTTTGGAGTGCGCTGCCAGAATGTGTGGCGGAGGCAGGTTCATTTGAGGCTTTTTGGATGATTTATTTGGAGAAAAAATGGGATTTGGGGAAAAGGCAGGAGATTGGCACTAGGGGATAGGAGCGGCGCGGACACGGCGGGCCGAGTGGCCTCCGTCTGCGCCGTAACAATATTCCGGGACCCTCCAGTTTCACAGGACAAAGCGCAGTCACTCTGAACACTTTTTCTGTCCCAGTCCTGGAAGACGATTTTCGACACCGCTCCAGCAGTTGCGGTAATGACAGGAAAGCCTGCAAAGTTTTCCGCCGATCAAACACCGGCTTGGAGAGAGAAACAGAGCTAGTGTTTGAACATCAAACGTTTTCATTTTATTGATTCATTGATTCGAGACCTTGTTCATTAGAATTCAGGACCTACTTGAATTGTACATTACATACATTGTATGTGTGAGAGGCAGAGATTCCGCCAAGTCTTCCCGTTGTTATAAGAAACTGTTAAATGACACGCCGAGATTGGATTTATAATCGTTCTGATGGCCATAATGAAAGTCCAGGCGTACATAATTTTAAAAAAATGCAAAACGATGAACTATTTTACAGCTATACATTATCTACTTTTTAAAATATAAATTCAACCAATGTGGTAGTACAGAACAGAAAAGCTAGAAGTTGAAGTTTTTTTATTTTGTATTAAGCAAGCCTACAGGGTCTGGACTTGAAAAAGAGACACCATTTTAACAGCACGGGAAGAGGGTTCTAGTCAGATCGTTCAAGCCCCCTTTTTAGCAAGTATAAATTAAATTGCCCATAGATTGCACTTTTATGAGAACAGAGTTAAGGAACACCCATTAGGATGAAAGGAGTAGAATGGAAGAGGGTTATTCTGAAAGTAGTGATTAGAGTTGTATTTTATAACCTTGCAGAATGTATACCAGGGAAAGAAGGCGGAGAGATAAGCAATTACGGCTTATAATAGGACAGGGAGCGATGGGTTTTGCTAGTTCTATACAGTTCTGTATCGGTTTTGCGTGTATGTTGCTGCTCGTAGCCACAGCTGCTGGGAGACCGGCGGTAGTGGTATGACACGTTGGACTGTGTTTAACATCCTCACACAATATCCACCGAGTTCCTCTACAAAGCACTCGGTTACATCCGTCATCCAGCTACACATCACTCCTTTCTCTGCTGCCCCTCTCTATGCCCCCTGGGGGAAAAATATGTACAACTTTACAACTTTGATCAAATGGCAGAAATATCCTAAATCAAAACCGAAAGAACTGCGGATGCTGTAAATCAGGAACAAAAACAGAAATTGCTGGAAAAGCTCAGCAGGTCTGGCAGCATCTGTGAAGAAAAAAAATCAGTTAACGTTTCGGGTCCGGTGACCCTTCCTCAGAACTGTTTCTGTGGCAGAAATATCCTGCCATTTTCTTCATTCGCTGTCACTGCTCATTTCGCTCTTGCAATTTCCATTATATTTTCATGTATGTTACACTCACCCGCACCGCCCACGCTTCAAGTGTAGCCCAGAATTAGAGAAAGAGACGCTATCTGCTTATTGGGAGTCCCTGCTAAACTGGGTGAAGAGAGGGAAGTGGCAGAGTTGGGGTTTGGATCTTTTTGTTGAGTTCCGTGTTAGCGGCACAGCACAAGACCCAATGTTTTAACAACAACAGCATCACAAAATGATCTCAGCTCCCAAGGTTCGGGGGTCGGGGTGGGCGGGGCGAGGTGTGAAGTGGGTCACATCACGAATTTGAGCTCCGACAATCCTGACGTCGTGTTGAAAAAATTGCAAATGATATTCACTAGTCTTTAAAGAATAGTCGAATTCGATGTTTAAGTAAGTCGCTTGTGATAGTTTCTCGGATAGTTGCTGAAGCTGTTACATCCTTGCAGGGAGTTTTTTTTTTAAAGAGTGCTTTCATGAATTAAACACTCGAGTCTAACCGATCACATTCAATCTTTGTTATTTATTCTGTTGTGAACAAAAATGTATCTATTACGATTACCCCCATTTTCCAAACTCGCCTCAAAAGAGGATCGAGTGGGTCCCTGATAGTTCCGCGTTCCTCACCACAGTGCGCGCTGTCGGAGCTGTGGAGGTAAGAATGTTGCACAGCTTTAGCTGTACATTTCCCTTTTGTTTTCGCCCTTGCACAAGTGTGCAACCGAGAATAATTCTGTAAAGTTCTGGATGCGAGTGCAATAAAAACACAATTTAAGTCTCGCAAAGAGGCTAGAAAAGTGTACAGCGTTTTCAAATATAAATCTCACACATACCAGCCGGACACAGAGATAGGGAGATTTCTGAGGGATTGGTCACCAAAATAAAGACTTTTTTTTTCATAAGGCTTATGAACAATGAAAGACGAGTTTGTAGAATTACATTTAGAACGATTCTATTCAGCGCAGATTCTGTAACATTTCTGCGTCAATGACTGATTTTTAAAATGGCAAAAGTGGCCAACTTTCGGACAAGTGACATTTTGAAAAAAACGGAAGGGTTTTCTGTAAAATGTCGGGACGTGAGGTGGCATGAGAACCATTGGAGCAGGGGTAGGGGGTGCAGAGTCTAGACTTCGGCGATTGGGGTTGTAGTGCCCAGGTTGAGTCAGCAGGGTCGAGTTTGTGAAGAATAAGAAGACTCAGTTTATAGAGCAGCTATAATCCAGTTTCTTGTGACAATCTCCATCTATTGAATAGTGGGATTTGATTTACGATGGTACCAGTGATCCTTTCTAAACGGCTCAGGACGAGGCAGAGCTCCCTGCGCACAATCTCCACCACTGGAGCCTCCGTATAAACCATTCATTTAATTATTTTAAAAATACATTTTATTCATACAAAAAATATCTTTATATATAGTCACAAACGCAGTTTGATTCTGTACAATAACATATGAAGAAAACAAGCAAAGATTGGAGTTTAACTCTTTCAACAAACAAACCAAGGGCCTCTCTCACTTGTACAAGATTATATTAACATGCATTTGGGGCACCAGAAGGGAAATTCAAAACCTTTCATGCACCTGTGGAAAGGCACGTACAATACAAATTCTTGAGGGGTGTCCCCTGTACAGACCAAGTCGAGGAGTAATCACCTTAAACTCAGAAAAATGAAAAGGCTATCACTTAGTTTCAGAATTTGCATTCGCTAAATAAAATCAAACACCTCCTTAGGGGAAAAAATGAGATTGATCCGAAAATATCTACGACAGATGGGAAGCTAGAGGTAGGAGATGATAACCAGATGATAAACTACGTCTTGTTTACTTCCCAGGAGTGTAAGAAAGAAAGTTGTCAAACATGTGCAGGATATAAATTCGTTTTAACACTAATAAATAGTTCATACTTTCTCAGGCGCATTAATCGGAATAAATTGGATCGTAAAAGGGGGGCACGATGGCTCAGTGGTTAGTACTGCTGCCTCACAGCGCCGAGTTCAATTCCACTCTCGGGTAACTGTCTGTGTGGAGTTTACACATTCTCCCCATGTCTGCGTGGGTTTCCTCCGGGTGCTGCGGTTTTCTCCCACAGTCCCAAAGATGTGCAGGCTAGGTGGCTTAGCCATGCTAAATTGCCCGTAGTGTTCAGGCATGGGTAGATTAGCTGGGTTATAGGGGTTGGGTCTGGGTGGGGTGCTCTGAGGGTCGGTGTGGACTTATTGGGCCAAAGGGCCTGTTTCCACACTGTAGGGATTCTAAGTCAAAAGCTGATCTTGCGCTTGAAAGTCCTATGGTCAAATGTATTGACCGATGTTTTCCTTTTTAATGTTAACAGCTCGTCCCCAACAAAACAAAACTGACAGAAAATGCCTAAAGTTACAACATTCTACAAGATTTTGTTCTGGTAATGAAGCCTGTCCTATAAGTAGATGCTGAACAGGAAACTGGGTGGTTTAGTATTGTGTTCACATATAGGTCCTTATACAACAAACTCCAGAAGTCAACGACACCAGGTTATAGCTCAGCAGCTCTTCGAAAGCTTGTGATTTCAAATAAACCTGTTGGATTATATAACCTGGTGTGTGTGTGTGTGTGTGTGTGGTGGTGGGATGGTTGAAGAAGTGCCCCAAACGCTTGTGATTTTAAATAAACCTGTTGGACGATAACCTGGTGTTGTGTGACTTCTGACCTTGTCTACCCCAGTCCGACACCGGCACCTCCACATCATTCTATATAACAAACAGCACGGAGCTCTCAGGACAGACTGTTCCCATGCTCTGTAGCCCAATTTTAGCTACTCGCTAAGTTAGTTTCTTCTGATTGCTGATTGCCAATCTCTAAGCCCGTTCACGGACTGGCTTTTGGAATAGAGAGGAGGTTGGGAGTGTGTGGATTGGTAAATCAATTCAAACTCGAGAAAAGGAGGTGGGGGGGGTGGTGGTTGTCGAATCTGGATATGGAAATTCTCTCTTACGGATGTAACCCTGGCGATTCTGAGATGGACCCATTTCACACGGGAAACCCAGCAGACACACACTCTCGGTTTCAAACGGGTTTCACATCGCTGGATCAGTTTGTGGACCGGTTCGATGTATTCTCTCATTCCTCCCCATCCACTTGCAATTTGCGGTGTGTGTTTGCTTTCTATCACGTCGCTGCGAAACTCTAAAGGGGGGGGGGCGGAGAAACCGCATGTCGTTGCAATGACAAATTTTTTTGTTCATTAATTGAGAACTCGCTTCACTCAGCTCGTATCCTGCGCCCTCCTGGTTTATCACAGAGCAGCTTCTCACTGTCTCCTTTCCTTTTCAGTCGGCCTGCACTCTTGCTCGAGCCTCCCCCCGGCAATGCAAGCTGCCACATGGAGTAGCCTCGGAGAACAGCACGCTTCGCCCCTGAGTCCCAGCTTCACCTCCTGGAAATCGGCCGCGCTTCCTAAGAACTTGGGGATACCAACGACCGGGAGTAGTGCTTTCTCTCCCTCTTTGAACACCAGCTCCAACTTCTCCGTCAACAATAAGTATGCCTTACTCAACAGCCCGAGCCTAAAGTCACAGGATTGCGTCCAGTACAAACCCCACGTCCACTCGACGCTCGAATATTTTGCAAACTCCGTGCACCCCCGGGTCGACATGGCTCACTATCACGATTCTTGGTTCAGACCCCCTCCCCAGGGAGGGGCAGCTGAGGACGGGGGTCTCTCGGCCACCTGGTGGGACCTACATGCTGGGTCCAATTGGATGGATCTTCAGAACAACCAGGCGGGACTTCAAAACTCCCCCCACCCGGGTGCCCTGCAGCCCCCTTTAGGGGGCTACGGGTCCGACCATCAAATCTGCGGGACCCCGACCCACCTGATCCAGTCAGGCCAAGTCATGATCAACCAGGACGGCTATAAGCAAACGGAGCCCATGCAGGAGCCGCTGCTCCTCAACCAGACCTTGGAAGGAGCTGGGAGGGCAAAGATTTCCAGGCGTTCCCTATCCCGGAGCTCGGCGCAGGGGAACTGCCGCTGTCCTAACTGCTTGGAGGCCGAGAGACTGGGCTCAGCCACGGATGGAAGCAGCAAGAAGAAGGTGCTTCATAACTGCCACATTCCGGGCTGCGGCAAAGCCTACGTGAAAACCTCTCACCTGAAGGCTCACCTCCGGTGGCACAGCGGCGACCGGCCATTCGTCTGTAACTGGCTCTTCTGTGGCAAGCGCTTCACCCGCTCGGATGAGCTGCAGCGGCACCTCCAGACCCACACGGGCTCCAAGAGGTTCTTCTGCCCCATCTGCAACCGGGTCTTCATGAGGACCGACCACCTCACCAAGCACTTGAAAACGCACGGGGAAAGCGGGCAGCCCCCCGGCAAAGAGAGCGCCGGCGAGGCTAGCAAATGCGCCTCGATCCCGGCTCGGTCCCAGTCTCCAGGGGACATCCAGAGAGACTGTGAGGGCAAGGGGATTAGCGATGGGATCCCAGTTACTGACCGACAGCAAAATTAAAGACTTCAAAAAGAAATGTTTAAAAACCCTCACGTGTGAATTAGTTGCACTTGAACTGCTGTATTGTGTCCCAGAGTGAGGTTTTGAAGGAAGTTCAACAATGTTCCACTGACCCGATTCTCTTACATTGTGCAAGGGACCCTTAAAGCAGCTCAGAGATCAGTTTTCATCTCTTTGGAACCAAAAATCTTAACAGGATAACTGGGCGCCGGCTAGGTCCCGAACTATCTTCCTCCCTTTGCAAAGCGGTGCAGTAATCTGTCTCATGCCCACCCTGCGGCCAAATATTTCACCATCCAGCAATCTTCTGTGGAAAGAAACTCGCTCAGTGTCTCCTCATTCTCTCCATTACAACTTTAAGTTAATGTATCCTCATCACTGATTCCCCCAACCAGAGGAAATTATCCTTTCTTATTCACTCCATCGAGAGAGTTTGTAATTTGTTCATTTATATTTAGTAATTTCCTTTCATATATAAAAATCTATTAAACCTACTGTCTTTCTGCTCAAAGTGGAATTAGTCATGATATTTCATTTCTGCCCTCATAGCTGTAGCTCTCCACCCCTGGAATCCTCCTTTACTCTCCATGACTTTACCAATCCAATTGGAAACTGACGTGTTGTTAATTTCTGTTTTAATTACAAGGCAAGTGTCCCTGTAATATCCTTCTGTCTGTTTCATCTCCCTTTTCCACATTTAAGCCAGAAATTTGATTAGAGATGTTCTTATTTGAACAACTGGGAGAATAAGGGGTCATAACTACAGCAGTTATTGCATTTTGGGTTCTCTCCTACAGAACAGCAATTTCTGAAAACAAACTGCACAGACTATGAGAGTAAGCTACACGGCTGGAGATGATATATCTGTCTCAGTAAGAGTTTTGTAATTTAAAGAAAGATACATAGTTCTTATTTAGAGTTAAAATTAAATTTTCTGCACTTCAAGAAGAAATTTGCTGTGTGCAGTGTTTAGAGATGTTTTGATGTGGATATTATACAATATAAATTACAAGCTGTGTTACCAAATTGCTCTAAAAGGGACGAGTGAACATTTTAAAGAGCTTTGTTCAATAAACTTAGCCCATATAAAACATTTTCTTAACAGAAAGAAATGTTCACATTAGAACCAATCTATCATTCCAAAGATGTAAAGTTCATTTGTTTCAGTCACGTGTTTGTTCAAAAGAAAAGTAGAACTTCATGGCATGATATTAAATAGAATCTCAAACATCTTGGAGACTTACTAAGTTGTGGTTCTTACAATGTTAGACAAAGAGTGTTTTTTTTGTTTTATTTAAAAATGTAGTTTAATTACTTATCATCCAGTTTGTGTCTTGACAGCAATAAATAATGCGCTAGTGATTTTAGCAGTGACATAGGGCTCAATTAGGATGAAAGCTGCCAATAGCAGATGCACTTCAGTATCTCGCCCTAGTCTATGTAGCATTTTTTTATAGCCAGCATCTTGCATGTGTGATGTGTAATGGTTGGGAAGTCATGTGTTTGTTGCCTTTCAACACACCCAGGAATGATATGGCATGGAGCACAGGTGATTATAAAACAAAACCACCATCACAAGTCTTAGACAAACTATTTTTAAATAACATTACTGCTATTAGATATGGTAGTGTTTAATTTTGTCATTTTTCCCACAAAGCTTTTACATTCAATTTCATCTCTTGCCTACATTTCTGTTTTATTCTATGGGCATGGTAATATTCACACAGGGAACAACAAACAACATACTACACCCTTCATAAAATATGAACCCTTGCACCTAGATACATTCAGTCAGATCCAAATGTCATTAGATTGCCGGGATTGACACTGAAATATTTAATAAATTGTATATTTGCAGTAAAATTAATGAAATGTAAATGCATAGAATAACTAGGATCTCACATTGACTATGGCCACTCATTGAATTATTTGACTTATAGCAGACACCCCATTATCCTTACTTGTTATAGTGATTGTCATTACCAAGGGTGAGATAATTTAATAGTGCACTGCTACTGGTGCAATATCATATTATTAACCATTGAAATCATAAGGTAGACCTGAATTGCATCAATGACAACACAGACTTCCCTTTCATAGCCATGGTTCTCACAGCTGTTTCACTGCTTCTGATAGCAGAACTCTTGAAAGCCCACTTGCTGGTGGTACTATTCTCTTTAACTGTGTCCCAGTTCCCTATAGTTAGTTACAGCTCACTGAATTCCTGATGATTCTGTCCCTCTTGCCCACTGGCACATACTCCTAATGGCCCAGCACCTTGTTCAGCATTTTTCTGGTACATTCTAGTTTTGTAAGAAAATGATAATCTCAGGATATGGGCTAATAAGACTGACATTTATTGCCCATTCTTGCTTGACCTTTAGAAGTTGCTGTTGAGTTTTTTTTCTAACCAACTATCATTGCTTATCCATATATGTAAGAAGAATAAAACACACAAATGCTGGAAACCAGAAAAAAATGCATACAGAGCATTCTGGGAATACACACCATATATGATTCTATGTCCATTACATCTATAATGAGAAATATAGGTTAACATTTCAGCTATTGTTCCTATATTCCTTTTAACCCTTCATCAGAGTGAAGACCAATACCTGAAGCATGGGTTTCTCTTGTCAATATTCTGGTGTGTCCAGCGTTATTCATTCACATTATAATCCATATTATATCTTACAAACCATAATTAAGGAGTTGTAATAAATGTTATTGGGCAGTGATCACAGTACGATGTGCTAGAATGGAAAGAAACAATTTCAACCAACGTGGAACTACAAAGAAGGTACCAAATGCAAACGTGCCATTTGGCTCAAATGATCCATGCTGATGTTTATGCTTCTCTACTCATCGTCAGCTATCCCTATTGACCTAACTTTCCACATTTTCTCCCATATGTGTTTGTCGAGTTAGCCCTTACAAAATAACTGATAAATGCAGTATCAGGAAACTTAATCTCCTGACAGTGATTCAAGTAACTTTATAATATAATTATTCACAAAAGCATGCTAGATGCTGATCATGAACAAAGTGGAGTTCATGGTGGGAGGCTGTTAAAATGTTTCTTAAACAGTAAGAACCATGGCTATGTTCAAGCATAATTTTAGAATAGTTGTGTTGTATGAAAATTCAAAACAGGATCTAAATTGTTCCAACAGATCCCTGTACACAGAGTGTGATTATTTAGAACCGTTATGTGTATTTCAGATATTGAAGCACATGTTAAAGTAACATATCCTCCATCCACTTAAAAATGATCTGTATATTGTTACAGAAGCTAAAAATCTACGCTGTGAATTACATATACTATATAAAATTAATGCTGTGTCTTTTATTTAATTTGCATTGTCTTTATAGTTGACAAAAAATAAAAATTTGTTTTCAAATGTTTCATTATGCTTTTGACATGGTTTTTCACACTTACAATAGTAAAAGCAAAAAAGAGACTCCAACTGATACTAAGATTGTTAATTCTAAGAAAACAGAAAATATTGTAACAACATCTGTAGAGGAAAACAGATTTAACTTTTCATCTCTCAGACCCTCCATCAGGGCTGGGGAAAGTTAGAGACATATATAGCATTTGAGCAAAGGGTGGATTTGACAAGGGCAAAAGGAAGGTCTAAGGTAGGGTGAAAGTTAGGAGTGATTGAATGAAAGAAGGAATAGTCTTAGAGGCAAAGGGCACAGTGGTGGGGCAATATCAAGGTTCAATAGCGGATTCAGTGGGATGTAACAAAAACTCTACAGATTAAGTCATGCAAATTAACACGGTTTTTAAGTGGTAAGATATATATAAAGCAGCAATAAATATATTAAGCAGTAAATTTATATATTAAGCAGTAAAAATATGTAAAGTGGTTTTTATATATATAAAGCAGTAACTAAATATGTAAATCAATAGATATATATATAGCAGTAAATATATGAAGCAATAAATGTATATCAACAATGAGTCTCATGTCCTTCTGCCTGTCAGGGACCCTGCTTTACAGCAGCTGGTCTGGAGAACTTGGGGTTCCTGGCACCATTCATGATTCTGGTCTAGGATGAAGTCTGACAGCAAATAACAAACGTGTTAAGTTGACAGCAAGTCTCACAGCCTTCTTACAGTTGCAAATCCCAGCCCGAGAACAAATCCGATGAATGAGGCAAAGTCCCAGGCATTAGTAGTATTCTGAATCAAAGAAATTTTTTATAGAATCCCTACAGTGTGGAAGCAGGCCATTCAGCCTATCGAGTCCACACTAACCCTCTTAAGGGCATCCAATGTTCCTACCCTGTCCCTGCAACCCTGCATTTCCCATGGCCAATCCACCTAGCCTGTACATTCCTGTACACTGTGGGGCAGTCTAGCATGGCCAATCCACCTAACCTGCACATCTTTGGTCTTTGGGAGGAAACTGGAGTACCTGGAGGAAACCCACGCAGGCACAGGGAGAAACATGTAAATTAGACAACATGCTGTATTACCATTTCATGTACTTTTAGTATTTTTCCATACATTCAATTATATAGGAAAACATCTCCAGGTGGCTCTGCGTGAGAGCCCAGCAGCATAGTTCTCATAGACAGTTTAATGTCACATGGTCACCCCTCAGTCAAAACAGGCTGTTTTTGCATTTGGCCTGTGTTTTACATACTTTTCCACTTCATCAATTGTTTATTGTCATGTCCAACTAACTCTTCCAATTAAGCCTTAATGATCTGGTTTGAAGATATTTTTAATCCTACCACTACAGGCAAGAAAAGAAATAAACAAACAAAAGACATCTCTCCTGCAGAGGTGCTGCTGTGAAAAAGAGAATAATGCCAAAAACAGGCAAAGGAAACATATTGGAGCAGAGATGATGATCTGAAATTGTTGAACCCAATGTCGAGTCTACAAAGCTGTAAGACCTAATTGTAAGATGAGGTGCTGTTTCTCATGCATTTTACAATTTATTTTGGAACTAGAAATGGTTACTGAGGAAGGATATGTGGCTGTGTAAGTAAATAATTTTTAATTTAATTTGGAGCTTTTTAAATGGTAAATTGACTGCTCAGCACAAATTTGAGCTATATAGGTTAGAGTGTGCCAAGATTAATTCCTTTCTGATTTGAGAGTCAGCGATTCTGGTTGGATGTATTCCAGAAGATTTCATCACATGATCTCCTGCCTCTAACTTTTCCAGCAATCTATTCCAGATCACAGCTCGCTACTTCCTCATTTCACCTCTGGTTTCTTTAGCAATCACCTGAAATGGAACTCAACGCCCACGAGGGTTTTGAAGGCAGAGATGATGAAGGGACTGGGCTGGGCACTTGAGAAAAATAAACTTGTGGAGTTTCAGGGAGAGTGGTCGGGTGGGGTGGGACTGAATGGATTGCTCTATAGAATTGGCTCAATGGGCTATATAGTCTTTTTCTGTACCGTTGACCTTATGTCCTGGTTAGTGGCCTTTCTGCCACCGGAAAGTGGTTTCTTCTAATTACTGTAATAAAAACATTCATGATTTTGAAAACCACAATCAAATCTCCTTTTAACCGTCTATACTCCAAAGAGAACAACTATAACTTCTCTAGTCTCTCCACATAATTAAATTCTTTCAAGCTTGGCATGGTTCTAGTGCCACAAAAGTTCAAGTTTAACCCCTGACCTGTGGTAATTTAACATGATCTAAACTGAGGTGATCTGAGACAATGCAATTGGCCTCAGTATTCAGAAAGGGGATTACTGCTCTTGACGTATGAGGTTAATACCTACTCCATCCACATCTAAGGCTTGGATTAAAAACCATTTCTAGTTGATTGGATGAAAGCTTTTCTCTTATCATTGGTTTAAGTGTCCTTAAAGTGAAATGATTTGTTTTGTTTGAGATAACACAGTGTGGAGCTGGCGGAACACAGCAGACCAGGCAACATCAGAGGAACAGGAAAGCTGACGTTCTGAAGAATGGTCCTGTCCGGAAACGTCTGCTTTCCTGCTCCTCTGATGCTGCCTGGCCTGCTGTGTTCCTCCAGCGCCACACTGTGTTATCTCTGAGTCCAGCATCGGCAGTTCTTACTAACCCTTGTTTTGTTTGAACTTTGTTCTGACTGGCAGGGTGTAGCACAAAATCTAATTAAAAATTCAGCAATGTTCCTCACAAAATCACAAGGTTCAAATGATTCATGCATAGTCAGGAGCAACCTTGTGGTTTGGAGCGAAGTTGGGACAGAGGGATTTATTGTGCCAGTAGTACAATATTTAATGACAGGAGATTATTTAATGCTCACAGTGGATTACAAAAATGTTCCATTGCTGTGTATGAACATCCCTCACTCCTGCTATCATCGGTGAACAGGATTTATTATGGATTATGGGGGCAGCAGACTGGCTTTAGGCAAGTTACTCATTTGAGAGTCCATGCAGATGTGAAGGGCCAAATGGCCTCCTTCTGTGCTGTAAAACAATTTTGTGATTCTGTGATTTGTCATGTGTCACTGCAGCAAAATTTTCTAATGTCCAACAAAACATAGATCTAAAGGGGATTGTGACTTTCAGGTCACTCTAAAGCAACGCTAGATCAGCCATGGCTCAGTTGGTTGCTCTCCCATCTCTGAAATAGCAATTCATGTGCTCAGGTTCCACTTTTGGGACACTCCAGTACAATATTGAACACAAACTTTCAAACAAATTGCTTAACCAACGTCTGCTCTGACCTCTCAGGTGGATGTGAACATTCACATGGCACAATTTTGAAGAGAAGCTTGGAAATTACTTCTGGTGTCCTGGCCATTATTCATCTTCAATCAGTATCACAAAAACAAATTGGTTATTATCACACAACTGCTGGCAGGATTTTGATGTGCACAACATAGCTGCATTTGCTACATTACAACAGTGACTATATTACAGAAGTATGTATATGGCTGAAAAATATGTTAGACAATCCTAAGAACATAAAAAGGCACCATATAAATGCAGCCTTTCTTTCTTCTTTCACTACAAAATAATTAATAAGGTTGAAAACATGCCTTGAAGATCCTGCTAATGTATAGATTTTGCTCTTTATAATATCTATGGGTTAATTAGTGCTGTGCAACATTGCTAACAGCCTGCTAGAACTTCATTGTTTTATCTATTATTGCAACAAAGGATTTACTCATTTCTTTTCACACAAGAATTTCATGTAAATGCAGTAACTTACACACTGTCATTTCAAGCCTTTAATCTTTTAAGCAATCTATTCACAGGAACTTCCTCCTTCTTAATTTGCCCCCAGTCTGGTTTTGAGCTGGTCAGTCGAGTTTCATTCAAAATCTCAGACATAAACCAAATAGCAAGCAAAAGAAATCAAAGCATGTTTTCCACTTCTATGTTTCATCATCTGGTGGCATTTGTTGAGGTTAAGGTTTCAAAGCAAATATTAGGATTTAAGCCATAAATTGTCAATTCTACAACTTGTCTGATTCTGACTTTGCAAACTGTGACAGCTTTTCCCTATTGTGTTAAAACACTCTTAATCAGTAAATAGCTCAGTTATTTTGTAAGTTTGATCTATTCTGTTTCCTGCTCCTTCACAAACAAAGGAAATCCTATAGCATCTTCCCTGAATGAACTTAAGCTCATCAAAACTCTGCAGGATCTATTGTAACTCACTTCAAACCCCATTCATCTCTCATTCCTGAAAGCTGTGATATTAAAATTCTCATGCTATTGTTCAAGTCCCTCCATGACCCACCTCCACACACCCCCAGCCCCAGTCCGGCTTACCTCTGCAACCTCGTCCAGTTCCACAACCCTTCAATGACTCAGTATTTTCCCAATTCTGGTCCATATATTTCACTGTACCATTGATAGCTATGCCAAGACCGCGAGCTTTGGAATACCCTTCCTAAAACATTCCACCACTCTCTTCTTTCTAGATCCTTCTTAAACCTACGTCTTTGGCCAAACTTTTGATTACCTGAACGAATGTGTCCCCGTGGTTGTATTTTTATTTTTTGTTTGATTAGATTTCTATAAAATGCTTTGGGAGGTTATACTAAACCAGATAAATGCAAACTGATGGTCTTCCGTCGGCTCCTCTCTGTCCAGTCTGAGATTAGGAGTCTGCGGATTCACAGGCACCAACTCTTGACCTACATTTTTCCCTCTGAGTTTTATTCCATTTTCAACTATTCAAGTTAACATATCCCAGTTGGTTTTGTTTGTGAATGTTACCAGAGAGTGATGAATGCTTTCTTTATCATACTAGCATTTTCAGAGAGTTAAATATAGAATTAAACAGGGTTAGAAATGAGTAAAAAGGTTATAATTTACTCGAAGGCTTCTGATGGCACAGAAACCATGATAGCAGTTCTTAAGTAGTTTATGGATGTTGCCTCAGCCCACACTAAATTACAACCTTCTATAGTCTACCATCTGTGTTTTCTTTAAACAATATACACTGCACCCACAGTAAAATGAAAATGATGTTAATGATTCTTAAAGCAGCAGTGCCATCAGTAAATATGCCCTGGTAATTACTTCCTATGTTTGCCTGTTTGATGCATTGATGGAGACCATGCCTTCAGTCATCTAGACCCCATAGTCGATAACTCCCTCCTTAAGTATCATTATCTCCCTATCTATCAGGCTACTTAGGTTAGTTGCCAAAATGAGACCAGATACTTCCTTCAGAAAGGTAGGACTTC